GAAACTAAAAATAACCGTATATACCAACCTTGATTTTAATTTACTCAAAAATTGTATAGGTGGCGATCCTACAATTTGATGGATTTTCGAGAGCTGGTCTATTTCGTTACTTCCAGGAAACAACGGCAATAAACTAAAAATATTAACATATTGATAGGTCTAGTTCAGACATGAAAAAAAGTCAAACGTACGTAATCATTTCGTAGAACACGCAGCCAACAGCCCACACGTCCATTTTAGGTCCGTAATTTCCGTTGGTCAGCAAACATTCTGGAGATCTATACCATCTGGTCGAGATATATTCGGTATATGGAGGTACACTGTATATACCTCTTACTGAACCCAGATCCGCTAATTTTATTATTTCATACTAGAATAATCAATAAAAAAATTATTTTGTTTTAAATCAGGTATGAGCGTGTAAAAACACAATTTAAAAATTAACGATAATACCAATTTTCATATAAATTTCCCTAATTGACGTAGGTTGAAAATATAAGCATTGTATTCTCCAACCAATTAACAACTTTTTTGTTATACAAACCTTTTTTGTCTATTGTGTCTCTGACATCAACTCGATATAATTTTTTTTGCTCTACTCGTGGAGAAATAATAAATCCACAGATTATTCATTGAACCGCCAGTCGATTTTGGTAGTTTTTGTATCTAGTAGTGGCTGCATCAGTCTCGGTATTTTTGAAATACGATTATTTGCTTCAATGGAGCTCAGAATATGACTTGTTATACAGGGTGGTCCGAATTGTATTCCGGAAACTTCAGCAGCATATTCTACAGATAAAAATAAGTAGAAAAGTTCGTATAAGTGAATGTCCTAAAATGCTTTGATTCTGAAATACAAGGTATAGAAGTTTCATTTTTATTTCGATTTCGTCCAAATAATTTCTGAAGTCTGAAGTGACGTCAATATTTGGATGAAAATTGGTGTCTGGGTGTTTTTTGACATGAGAAATTTGATTTTGATGTCAATATGACTCCTACTTGTAGAGAGCGCCACCTACATGTGTTTTAACTGTTTTGAGCGTAATAACTTTTCGTCTGTATAAAAACTACTGAGTGAAAAAATATACATTTCTGTGATTTTTTACGTAAAAAATGTCTCTTAGTAAAAATCGCGTTCTCCAGATACCTATTTAGAAAGGGAATATTCAATACTTGCAATTATTGACAAAAAAAACACGTTGAGTAGATATAGTTATTTGACATGAAATAATAAATTTGGGAATTTTTTTTTTAAATTAATCATAAAATTTTCTGCGAAAAAAATGATGATAAAACAGTTTCTGTTGAACATTTGGCACCTACATAATATTTTAAATTTATGATTTCAGTCTAATAACTATCTAGTCAACATGTTCAGTTCTTGTCAATAATGACATGTATTGATAATTTAGATTCCAAATATCTCTAGAACTCGTAGCGATTTTTACCAAGAGACCTTTTTTACGTAAAAAAGTCGTAAATGTATATTTTTTTAATCAGTAGTTTTATACAGGTACGGACGAAAAGTTATCCTTCAAACCAGCTAAAAAATATGTAGGTGGCGCCCGCTACAACCAGGAGTTATATTGACATCAAAATCAAATTTATCATGTCAAAAAACTCCCAGACACCAATTTTCATCCAAATATTGAGGTTACTTCATAAATTATTGGGAAAAAAACACACAAAATAAAAATGAAACTTCTACACCCTGTATTTCCGAAACTAAGCATTTTAGGGCATACATTTATACGAACTTTTTTACTTATTTTTATCTGCAGAATATGCTGCCGGAAGTTTCGGAATACAGTTCGGACCACCCTATATAACATAAGATAAGCGAATATCTAGACATACAGTACGTCTGTCCGTTCTGTAGCTACGGGGTATCCGTGAGAGGGGAAACGATATTCTCTCGTTTTTTTTCGTAAAGGCAACACTTGATGCTGGCCATCAATAAAAATTCGACAAATTTGCAAGTAGCCAATAAAATGAGTGGGCGAAGCGATTTGCGGTGACGTACTCGTCAAGTCGACGTATAAAATATATTGCTGTTTATTTAAATGTTTTTTGTCCGCATTCCTTTCATAGACACAGATCCATAGAAGTGTCTAGCAGGCAACTATTACGCTTGACCAATCAGGTTGGTTAGCGTGGTTATTTGGGTGTTAATTCATTTGTGTTTGTCAAAAACTCTAACATGATTGGTCGGGCTTAATAGTTGCCTGCTCGGGCTAGACACAAGTCAGATCCAGCAGACGTACTTTATCTAGGCAGGTACGCAGTCGAGTCGTGTTCCATGTAAATGATCGTAACTTGACTGGCTGTCTAATAAATTGGATGTGATAAAACCATAAACTATACTGTAATTTAGTGGTTGTGTGTTAGTGGTTTAAGGAAGATTTCGACAGACGATATCCAAAAAATGACAGAAAACACAATTTGATTTACTGTCCTCCATTCACGCAGTTGTGCAGCTCTGAACTGTTCAAGAACGCGATACTCTTACACCATTCAATTGACTCATAAAGTTCAGAACTGTTCCGCGCCATATGGAGGCACCAGGCTATGATGCACAGCTCCTTTCAGAACCGTTCTGAGTAGCTCAGGGCATAAAGCTCTGGAACTTGAAATTCGCGAATGGAGGACAGCAACTGTGAATTAAAATGGCAGACACAAGTATCGTATCAACTGTCACTGTCAGAGATTCTCCCATTGGACAGACTATAGATGGTGTTATGTCGAATTTCTCAAAATAATGATCATTTTCTCAATAGAATTAACTGGCAGAATATAATTATTAGTACCATTAAGGCCAAAGTTACTTAACTTACTTTTTTCATACGATACAATCGTGTTGATTCAGTAGAGGGGAATTTGATCAAGATATTCTCAGGTTTCACATCGCGATGGAATAAACCGTTTCTGTGTAAATGTTCCAATCCTCTCAGTAACTGGTACAAATATTCCTTAGCTTTGGTCTCAATCAAACCCCTAAAAACGATAAAAAATTCGATAATAAACAATTTTCTGTTAATACAGGGTGAGTCTTAAATAAGTGCAAATATTTTTAGGGGTTGTATATTTTGACCCCAGGAACACGTCTATGAGGTTTTTTTTCGCTAAAAAAAAGATGTTGAAAATCGTGCATTTTCTTTTAAATTTCCTTGTATATTTTTCGAAAACTTTTTAGAACTGCCTGTTCAAAATTCAGGCTAATAAACCTTGCAATGGTCTTTGATATACACAGAGTGTTTCAAAATTAAATGTTCAAATCACTGGGCTAAACAATATACAGGTTGTTAAATTGTTTATTACTCGCGGCAAGAGCTTTATGGTTGAAATATGGTAACCTCGACCCGCTCGTCGATAGACGAGTCGGCAGAAAACCGTATAAGTGCATGCGTTCTCAATAAGTAGTGTTGCCATTCTGTTCCCCTATAAGTAACTGTCAAGTTAACAATCTGTGTAGTATTCCATTTAAAACATACAATAGTGCAAAATGTTTTATATTAACAAAAATATTTTAAAAATGTGCGCAACTATTGCCCACATGTTTTATAAAAAAAGGAGATGAAAATCTCAAACCAGAAACCTGATATAGATTTTTTTTATTTTTTTTTTGTCATACTGTAAATATGCAACTTAAAGTGACCCTACCTTGGATTTGTACTGGCTTTTTTCCTAGCCTTCAAATGATCATATAAACTCATATCCATCAGTTCAAAAACGAAGGTTACCTGACCTGAAAATGAGTCGCTGTATATTTAGTTTAATATCTATTTCTCGCATTGATCGGCCTTACTAATGGTACTCAAACATGTTCAATATGTTCACGTGAAAGGGTATCTTCTGAGCAGCAACCACTTCCGCGCATGTTAATACTGATGATTCTCTAGAACAAAAAATTCAGATACAATGCGACCAAAGTAAAAATTAAAAAGACCAAACTAAAATAGTAGAGTACTTACGATTTGTAATGTTTCTTTAACCTTTTTGCAGCATACAACAACCCCGTAGACTTGTGTTGGCATCTGAGAACATCAGAAAAAGATCCTTCACCAATTTTATCCAATATTCTGTATTCTAAACATAATAATTTCAACTTAAAAAATTGCTAAAAATAAGTGACATCATTTTATACTTGCATAGAAAGTGTCTACGTTACACATTATTTGTAATTCCTAAAAAAAACTAAAAACAAATAATTATTTTATTAAAAAAATCAATTTGTACTCTCAAGACATGCCTGCCAAAAAAAATGTCAATTTTAACTCTGAATTTAATTCAGGTACCTAGTTGTCAATTTTAAAAATATTAAATAAATTGTGATAAAGGTAAGTATAACTATAAATTTATTTCACTTTTAAATAACATTGCATATTAAAAAATTGAAAAGAAAATACAATATAATTGTTCTAAAACAAAATATTTACATCTAGGTACTTATATATTTATTTTCATATATATGGAATTTCTTATTGAGAAAAATACTTTATTTTGTACAAAGTTCAGTTTTATCTGTCTTCAACTTGATTATCTCTGGCTAAAACAGACTCTTCAAACTTAATCATGTAGGTGGTTCCTTTATGCCAATGAGCTGTTACTTTTGCTGGCTAAAAATTATGAACAACTACTTATTAAATATGTTTTGTAGTTAGTGTTTTCATGTATATGTGTGTACTGTTTACTAAAAACCCATAGTTTAGTTTAAGAAAAATACTTACAAAACCTGTTCCTGTTAACACGGCTTCTATAATACCAGCAATATACACAGCACAATTTAAGCTACTCTTGTCTCGAGGTATTGAAATAAATTTATTTACAACAGGCTCTTTTTCCATCAAATAATAAGTATTTTCATCATCATTGGAATGTTCTAACTTATCTGCTTCTTTCCCAAATAGCGCCTAAAGTATATATAGTTAGTATAAAGTAGAAATATATTTAAAATTCTGATCTTTACTTTCCAAAAAGTTGATTTAATAAAAAGAAGTATACTAAGTAGCTTCGTTTCACGTTTACCACCTCGTTCTCTTATAAAATACAGGTCTATTAGTTTCAAACCGACTTTTTGACCGAGCTCGTGCAGCCTAAAACAAATTAGAGTGTATTTTATATTTACTATTTACAAAAACAAGTTGATCTTACCTGTTTTGTAGTTCTGGCAATGTCTGGGACTTATTTTGACAATACTGAACTACTTCGGAAAATAATAGGGCAAAACAACTTAAAGATACTTCACCCTTTCCTCTACTTAACGGTTTATCTAAAATACTTAAACGATTTCTTCCACCAAGACTCATTTTTGCTTTGATTTCTTAACATGAACTATTTATGAAAATATTTTTGTTTTTAATTTTTTTAGAGGTTAAATACGACATGTCAGATGTCAGTCAAACTCGCAACCAGTTATACAACACTGTTTTTCTGGTCAGCTAGCTTCTTCTGCTTGTTCTAATTGTTAAAATTTTGAAAAAGCGCATTTCCTTAATAAATGCATTTTTTATAGACTATGTTAACCTGTTTTTTAAAAACTTTATAGAAATATTCAGCATATTTATGTTGATATTAAATGTTTACACACATAAACAGTCTGTTTTTTTCGTTTAAATTTATACAAGAGAGTGAATGTGCGATCTTGAGCGGCAAATACGTCACAGAGGAGGACCGTTAAAAGAAATAAACTTCTTCAGATTCAGTTTAGTGTCTTCCTGTCGCTCAAAGAGCGGAAACCGGTATTCAAATATATTCGCGCCGTAGAAATTGTATTTTATAAACGCGCTTTTTGGTGATTTTGGTTTTGGTTGGAGATTTTTGAGATACCATTATTAAATAAATTGGTAAGTATTTAAATGAATATATGGGGGGGTATTACATAATATGCACTATTCTTTTTAAATAATGTAATTTTGCCAAAAATACAATGTAAAGAAATAAGTTTTAGAAATATTATAAATTATTCTATTAGCAATTTTTATGGTATATTTATTTGCGTAAAAACAAAAAATATAGATATGATTTAATTAAAGAAATAATTCAGTTGCTACATATTACGTTCCTGTTATAATTAAAAACCAGTTGAAATAACTCCGATATTAATTATATTACTTGTTTATATTTATATTTTTTAATATACCGTAAAGCTGTTGAT